GGAATGTAAACTTGGTAATGACTGCATTGCCTGATAAGCTTTTAATTCATATCCACTTAGAATGAAATGTAAAATTGCCTCCTCCTCAGAAAATACTAACATACTTTGTTCAGTCTTATGATTCACATTCATAACCACAAAATGAAAACATTCTTTCACAGTCCAAGTACTGATTGAAAAATAAGTAAATAAGATGGGAAGATAAATAAAAGATAAATAGGTATCAACATACTTGAAGACCTCACTGAGAGACTCACACACCAACCAACAGCATTCCAAATACTTACTGTGTAAAAGAAGCCAATTATCCAAGAACAAAATGAGGATAATTAGCCACGAAGGAACACTGTTACACAGTGACAGAGAAGGAAACAGAAACAGCTGTAATGCAACACCTAATCTATTAAGTAAATACAGGGCACAGCTAAGGACTGATCCAGTTCACTGTCGTGGTCTTCTGAACCTTCTAAGAGTAACCTGAGACCTCTTGTTTGTTTGATGTGTTTCCTGCTATTTCCCCTCTTATGCTGTAAGGTCCTTGGGACAAGTACTATTTTGTAAATGTATATTATCCAAGCTCTGGTCCAGAGCCCTACAAGTTTACCAAAATACAAATTACAAATATGAAAGCATAAAATTTCTCAGCCTGATGAGCAGTTGAAAGGGTAGCTATTCACCACCAAAAACAAATTCTCTGGCATTTTACTGATAGAAACACACGTGTTGCAGTGAAAAGAGTGCTCCCACTCTCTCATATACAACTTATTCCAATGTAAAATTTCATGAAGCATTAGAGAAGCTGGTTAAGCACACAGGAAAATTATGTACGAGCTTGTGCTAGCACATAATAAAGTAACTGAGCTATAAATTCCTATTTATTTTGGTCTTTATATTTATCTTCAAAGCTAATTGCATCTCTGACATAATAAAAGCATATGTGTATGTGGTAAACTCCAGTCAACATCATCATTAAATGCAATCAAAATCAAAGTCATTGGACAAGTTCTCTGTAACGAAGATGCAAGCATAGCATCTTGGCTGGAAACTATAGTTGTGATAACTGAACAATAAGGTAGGGGTATCTTCTCCTACCTTTCTCCCCCTGGGATAGGACTTGAAACAGTACATGAAGATGCAAAACAGCGCTGAAAGGAAGGATCTGCCTGCACGCTGGCCCTCAGCAAGGCAGGGTTGGTGCCCAAGCTGCTGTCAGACATCACCAGAGAGTGGTTAACAGCTTCTGTGTAACTTCGAGATTCTGCAGCAAAGGAAACAAAGTAAAAGGCAAGCTGAAAAACAACTCACATTTTGATGGACTTTGTACTGAAAGAACTGTTTATAAAACAATCTTTTTTCCTCTTAATAGGACTATAAAGAAGAGTTTTTATTTGTTTGAGCCGTAACATTTTATTTCACAACATTACATTGACTGCTGAAAACATCCAGCAGGACAAACGGCAGAGGGAATAAAGGTTACAGAATTGCACTGCTCAGACCATTTGATCAGGGTTCACTCACTGGCCCTGAAGATGAGACCAGACCTGTCTGTTCCAAGCTGTTTTGCATTCCACAGGGTTAATCAGGTATGTCTAGTCAAGTGTCCTATGTGACTACACACACCATCAGTGCACACTTATACAACAAAGTGATAGAAATTTGAGTGTTCAGCCCACCCATTCAGTCCACTGCTAAATGGGGCAGGGAATCCAGCAGAAAATCACATGGAAAACGCTGAGGTGCTCAAAACATTTTTCACCTTAGTCTTTACCAGTAATACAGGCCTTTGGGAACCTCAAGCCCCTGAGATCAGAGGAAAAATCTGGATCAAGGAAGACTTAAACTGTGGAGAAGGACCAAGCAAAGGAGCACTTAAACAACTGAGACGTACGTAAGCTTACTGGGGCCTGACAGGTTGCACCCGCAAGAGCTGAGGGAGCTGGTTGATATCGCTGCAAGGCCACTCTCAATAATCTTTAAAAAGGTCACAACAATTAGAAGAGATTCCTGAAGTCTGGAAAGGGAACAAGCATCACTCTTGTCTTCAAGAAGGATGATATGGGGAATTGCAGGCTTGGCTAGCCTAATCTCAGTCTGTGGGAAGATGATGGAGCAACTAACCCTGGAAACCATTTCCAAACATGTGAAGGAAAAGAAGATGATTGAGAGCTGTCAGCATGGATTTACAAAGGGAAAATCAAGGCTATCCACACTGATAGCCTTCTTCAGTGAACTGACAGCCTTCTTCAGTGAACTGACTAGCTTAATGGCTAAGGAAAGAGCAGTGGATGTTACATATCTTGATTTTACTAAGCCTTTTGTCATGGTGTCCCACAACATCCTCATAAACAAGCTGACAAAGCATGGGTTAGATAAGTGGACAGTGAGATGGACTGAAAACTGGCTGAATGACTAGGCCCAGAGGCTTGCGATCAGCCACACCAAGTCACTAGCATTATACCCCAGAGACTGACACTGGGGCCAATACTGTTCAATACATTCATAAACCTGGATGATGGGATAAATCTTAGTCAGCCAGTCTGCAGACAACAGAGAACTGTGAGGAGAGACTGGTAAACCAGATGGTTGTACTGCCATTTAGAGGTGGGAGAAATGGGCCCAAAGGAATCTCAAGAAGTTTTAGAAGGGGAAATTGTAAACTCCTGCACCTGGGAAGGAATAATCCCAGACACCAGTACAAGCTGGGGGCCTACTGGCTGGAGGATAGCTCAGCAGAGAAGGACCTGAGAGTCCTGGTGAACAGCAAGCTGACCATGAGCCAGCAACGCAACCTCATGGCAAAGGCGGTCAACAGTATCCAGCTGCATCAGGAAGAGTGCCGCCAGCAGGTCAAGGGAGGTGATCTTTCCTCTCTGCTTAGCACTGGTGAGGCCACATCTGAAGCTCTGTGCCCATTTCTGGGCTCCCCAGTACAAGAGCAACATGGACTTGCTTGAGCAAGTCCAGTGCAAGGCCACAAAGACGCCTGCAGCATCACTGGGACTGGAACATCTTTCAACTGAGACTGAGAGAGCTGGCACTGTTCAGCCTGAAGAAATTCAGGCTCAGGGGTATATTATGACTGTGTATAAAAAAATGATGGGAGGGAATGGAAATGAGGGAGCCAGTCATCTCTCACTCTTCTGCTCATGTGAGGAGAAAAGGACAGACTGGGGTTGAAAGGGAGTTGAGCAGCACAGTGTTTAGTTACCAGTACAGCTACAGATTTCAGGTGTGACTTTGCTCATACAGACAAAAAAGTAAAGCAACTGTAAACTTTTCTTTACTAATAGCTTGCAAATAGCATCAGATTAATTGGTTTCTAAATTGATTCAAGTCTGAACTATGTTCAACTTAATTATACTAGACATAAATATTATGGGATATAGTTAAAACACATGCACTTGAGTGAGGAATAATGTGGATGCTAACACTGAAGAGCTTTATAGAGGAACAGTTTAAATCCCTCCTCTACAAGTACATTTTAATAACCAATCAAGCTCTAATGAGGATTACATCTAATTATTCTGGTATTATCTAAAGCAATTCAAGACCTATTGAAATAAACGCAGGTTCAACACCAGTATTTTCTACCACAGAAAAGGCCATGCACTAAGGTACTGCAAATGCCTGCATATCTGAAGCTTCATACACCTGAATAGTTCAATTGACCTTTTGCAGGACTGAGATCCAGTAAGATATTACAGATTAAACACTCTGTAATTATTGTCTCTTGAGTAGATAAACTTCAAAAGATTGAGGGAGAAAAAATACACAAGAAGTTACAGAACAATTCCAGTCCTTACAAAGAGTTCAAATCATGGTAATGCATCTTTTCCATAAGGAAATCTTTCTTATGAAAAAAGGAAGAAGGTTCTCACTATTTCTGTAAGCAACACTGAAACAAGTCTAAATAAATCTTCCTTTCCCTTAAATCCACCGCAGAGCCTGGCTCTGATATTATTTGAATGAGGAGGGCGCAAGGTACTTAAAAGAAATGCCTGAGATAAGAAATCTGTAAATCAATGCCCTGACTGAAAAACATTTGAATTCCTCACATAGCATACATACTGTACAGGGCAAACATTTAATTGGATAAGGGAAACCGGAGAAAACTGCAACATTGCCTTTTAACTATATCCATTACTTTAACTATATCCACGCCAGCCATAAAAGTGAACTTTAAGGAAATACTGCAGAAATGTGTGCAGTGTGGAAGAGCCAGAGAAATCTGAATACATATCTAATAGATCAAATATATTACAGTCATTCTCATGATAGTGCAAGGCACAGGAAAAGCTGGCTGCATAAACCCATGATTTAGGCCATATTCCTACTGAAACCAGTAGTGCCTGTTGACACAAGTATTACCAAGACTGACTGTTTACCGATGTATTATAAAGACCAAAGGTAAAGCCTTGAGAAATTATTTCAGTGATTAACTTTCTGAGAAAAAGTCTATTAGTTGAAGGTGGGTTGGTCAAACTAATGTTGTAAGTCTGAAGATAGTATGACTAGAGCCTCCCCAGAAACACAACTTTTACTGGCTAAAAGCAGATGAATTTACCGATAGCAGTGTCTGTAAGACAAAATATCATATGTGCCACAGACATCTCAACTTTGCACATGAATTTGCAGATGCATCCCAACTACACTGCAAGTGCAATGACTGTGCTCCTGTATGGGAGAGGTTAATGTATTCCCTGCAGGCATGGCAATTACAACCACAACCTACACTCCATAGGCTTGCTTGTTTTCACGGCTCTGTGTCTGTTCTCTTGGTACCAGACTATATGGGGGAGTCACTGGGCCCCAGCTTCCAAGAACCTGGGCACAGGAAGGGGAGCAGCACTGCTTCTGAAATAGCTTAAAATCTTCTAACACTCTAATGCAATCCCAGCTATGTGCATGAGAGTTAATCTGAAGCATTTACACAGCGAAGTCCTCTCCTTCTCCCTCCATAACAGCACTTGCTTGAAGAAATAGACTAAGAAATGGACCAAGACTTGATTGTTCCCTGTTTCAGGCCTTGGACTGTTGCTATTACCTTGAGAGCACCAAATGCTGCATAAAGGAAGGACTGCTGTCACATTCATAAGTGCAGCATTTCTTTCCATAACGAAGTTTCACAGGTGTAAAATACTAAAATAAGAGTGAAAAGCCACTGGCAGCCAGGCATGTAATCTGCAGAAGGAACACAAACCCTGTACAACTCTTCCCAGGCTAGAAACAAAGTATATCTGAAGGGCACTTCCCATGAAAGCAGTTTTGTTTTTATTTCCATTAAAAACAAGCTTGCTGACTATTTCAGCTATGTCCTCTCTATTGTCCAATGCAGAGTCCACACTCACAGGTCAGCTGTTAACCCCTTATCTCAAAGAATCATTAATTCAGTGCAATCTCACAGCTTCTACAGGATTTCTGTATGCAGGGTCTGAACTCTTGTGGTATATCTGCTGCAAAGCATCAGTGATTCTTGCTGCAGGCCTCTACTGAATCTATACCACTGTATCTGTAAGAACATGGGCAATATAACAGTGCAGCTTCCTACTTAAAGAAGCGACATGACAAAACCACATCATCCATGTTCATGTCTCTTCATGCACCCAGGTCAGACCTGCATATCTACATTTACTATCACTGATCATCCATTTCACAGGCAGCACCTAAGGGAGGAACTGGACTCTGTGCATCATACACTACTGAAAAGTGATATTTGGGAAGAAAACGAGTAAGTTTGTGCCGATATGCAAGACAGAAAGATATTCAGGTCACTCTTCTACTGTCCCACCTTGCAGCAAAAGGTAAATACTTGTAAAAGTTGCAAGCTTCTCTCAGTTTTAAGCAGAAACTCTTGGATGTGCCTAGGACACAGCTATATAAAGTGAAATGTCATAGTTTAACATACATTTTAATCTACTAAATCTGTCAAAACAGAAAAAAAAAATAACTGAAAAAAAACCACCAAAAAAAAACCCCCCAAAAACCCAGAACAGCTTAACCCACGCCATGGTCCAGATAAAAGACAAGTTAAAAAGGTTCCTTTTCCTCTGTCTTGTAGCAGCTGAAGAGCAAAATCATCTCACATCTTTGGAGACAATGGTCCAACTCTGGCAGGGAAGTGAAAGACAGTCATTCCACTATGATACCTTGCATTTTAGCAGCTTCTCATACATACCCACATTCGTAGTCCTTTTTGTGAGAAGGTGACAGCTAAGCTGCATTGCATGAGCTTGAAAATTCCACTCAAGATCCTCACTT